ACGGTCAGTGTGTACAAAAAAACATATTTCGTTATTAATAGTTCCTTGATGCACATTTGAAGACGAAAATGATAAATACTCACAGTTAGGTGGGGAAAATCCAATAAACGGTTGATAAAAGCAAAGTGGGGTTAAGAGCATAACCCGCATAGCTGAAGACAGCCAGATTGTTTAAGCAAAATCCGGGTTTTGGGTGACGCAACAGAGGCTGGAACAACAGCAAAAGCATTCAATACGCGTATTCAATGAACTTAAGGACCACTTGAGAAGATTGCTCAAGGTAGAAAAACATTGCCTTGGAACCAATTGAGATTTGATTTTAGGGAGTAAAGCCGGACCAATTAAGTGACCCAGAATAACCATTACGTCTGTGTAGTTACAGACTAGAACTAAGACAAATTCTTTGTTGTTTGAGGTGCGTATAATTTTAAGCTCTTTTACACGAACGTTGACGGACTGTCTAAGACGGCACAAAATACTCACAATACGAATTGATGGCGGATTAACTAAGACTCTGAATCACGGCCTGGAATAGAGTGATTTCTTTCAACATCTCTACGCAGTGGAAGACTAACACTAACCAAACACTATATGACGGTAGCAAATGATTTGAACAGCCAGCCACTACCTAGTCAACTCCAAATAAGTGATCAAAAATAATATTGGAGCAAAATGCTTGGAATCATTTCTGAAGCTGTAAAATACGTTTTCAGAAAAGCACAAAGGGTAAACTGTGTCTGCTAATTCAAACGTAGCAGCTTACGTCCTTTTATGTGGTCTGTTGAGAACTTTCTACAGAATGCAGCAACACATCCTGTTTTAGAAGAAAACATATCCAGTTGGCGCACGACCTACGCGTAGCTTGAGTCAGTTGCCTAATTTATCACTAACCATAGCGAGGTTCTGTCTGATCCCATACCACTCCTTGTGGAAAGCCTCAGGGTTCAGCACAAAGCCTGTCATTCCTTGTAGTGCAACTATGTTACCTGGCCTGCGCTCCTTCTGCGCAAAATTCTCATAGCATCAGATAGTCATTCACACCTCCGAAAACCGAACAGTCCTTTCCTGAGTAGACTAAATGTTGTCAACTGCCTTTACTCAGGAAAGAACTGTCTTTACTCAGGAAAAAGTGTCGTGCACTACCCCTATGTCATTTCATCCTCCGCTAATATACGAAGAGCGCAGATTAGCATTACATTGTCAACATCATCATATAGCAAGCACTGAGACACTATACTGGATGTCGCAATGTCGTTAGACTTACAAACAAGCATTTTGGACTTCCACGTCACACCGTCTGCAGGCTTGAAAAACCGTACTCACTTTCTGATTTGAGGTGAACATCTGACCATATTTTAAACACACCACAAAGGCCATGAATCACCTACCAGATTGTAATGACAAGCTGTCAGAATTTACACCGATACCGACCGGCTTCCGAAACTTTTACCAAAAGGAGCGGTTAAAAATTATCGCCCTCAACTCGTTTGCTTACAGAAGGCTGTGTAATAAGCTTGCTACTGTCTCCCAAATTGTGCGGTACCAAACTACTTCTACTTCCTAAAAATGTTCCCCGTCCGGTACTAATAACCGCCGTGGATACGACGGGAAGATTATTTACCATCAAAAATCTGTATCCAGGATGATTCGGCCGATACCTTTAGTTGAGACATTTTGAAACTGTGTCTGCCCTAGAGACATTCGACCTAACCACTGATAACGCCTGTGTGTCTGAATGTAATCATTGCTACGGACTGGTTCATAAATTTTACCCTTTATGCCAGTTATTCATGTGAAAGTCTCAGGGAGCTACGTACTTCTTTTACAAACGGTGGGTTTCCTCAAAGCAAGTGGCCACAATGATAACCCCACTGTCAACGGCAATTACTCAGTGCGTAATTAAGAATAGGTGTTCTGTTTAACGTTCTAATTAAGATAACTGCAAGCATTGGCAGTAAAAGGGCCAACATAACACATTTAGATACTTTTTGCGGAAACTAGGCTTTGGATCTTTGAGACTGGTTTAAGAGATCACACAGACAAAGATGTTAGGAGAGTTTACAATTGCTTAGGTAGATAACTTCGGCATTCAAATGAGCCCCAGATACACATGGTACTACTGTAGGAAGTAACTGCTCAAATGTTATTATCATCAGGCGATATTTTGCTTTGGTTTCATTTGTTGCCAAAGGGCTACAAAGTATTACAGACAATCATAATGCCTTTCGGGCAAAAGGCTTGTTCTCTCAATAAAAGCTGGCCAAACATCACTTTTTCGTCTGTACATTCTGCATTCACTCACCGCGTATAATCCCGCGATGATATTGATTTTGCCTCCTGTCACCCTGCTGACAATATCAGCTAGGAAAAACGACGTATCTCACCTCTGAAAAACGACCACTCGTGAGGTTTCGCTAAAAAAACAGTGACAAGTGCTACCCGATGAATTGTAGGTCAGTGGGTCTTATGCCGGTTCTCACGAAAAATAGACCAAACGTATGTTACTGGTCAAAAGAAGAAAACAAGTTTACTTGTCAATGCTAGGCATGTGTAATGAACTTCCTGACGATCCAGAAGAGGACTAAAATAGGTTAGATGAAGTCACATCAATGCTACTTTCTCGATTTTAGGAAGGCGTCCATTCATTTACTGTGAGTGCTTCAAGAATGAGAATTCTGATCGCAGGTTTTTAAGAGACTGACAGCCATTGTCATGTTTCATGTGGCTCATTTGCCGCTAGTTACTTTAGAAAGTAAAAGACTGTAGGGGAAAACGCATGTTATTCAGTCCATATTTTGGCAAGATCCCATAAGAAGTTGTCTTACTTACGTCTGCCGTTCCAAATGGCCCTCAGAGCGTAGAGATCGGTCAACAATCACGTGCGGATTCTAAGCACTATCCAGCAAGAATGTGGCTAACTCCGATTGACATTCAGCTGAACAATGTATCAAGATCCTCATTCACAAGAACTGCTATGCTCACGCTGTCCATGAACTTCCAGGCCCAAAGGAAACTGAGGTACAGTAGCGCGGAATGTTAATCCAGCTTGACCTGGAAATGGCTGGCCGTAAGAAGAGTTTGATCGTGAACTGGCAATTTATGGACGTGGATTTGTACGTCAAACTGCTGAAACTGTGCACCCCCCCACCAGTAGTCTTTATCCGTAGTACGACCTACGTTTTCGCCTATACCATTTGCAGTGTGCTGGCACTGACCCCTGGATTAGCGTCTGACTCAGTTGATTTTTAGGTTGGAAAATTTCGAATAAATCTGATAGATATTAAGAGGACACGGCAAATGCAGGCAAAAATTGTCCAAAATGGGACGCTTCACTTGGTCGCCTTTCCAATTTTTTCTTAAATTGAAGGTTCAGGTTCGTAGGTACTACGATGCCTGTGAATGCCACGGATGTTGAAACCTTTCGCAGGTAGTAGTTCAACACAAGTTTTGTGCAAAGTGTGACATCTGGAAGGTGAAACCTTGTTGCTTGAATAGAAGCATCAGCAAAAAAGTGTTTATTAAAACCCACAGCGGGGAAGGTTGAAAGGTTGAACGAGTGAACTTCATTATCCGAAAACTCGTTGCAACAACAGAAATCTATTCGAGCGATGAGGTATCACATCCTAAAGTGGAAAATATAAGAGCGCGCGCAATTTGACTGGTAACGTCAAAGACAATAAAAGCCACAAAGTATGAAATGAAGGAGGTTGTGGTTAAATCTTTGCATTATTTTATATGAAATGGTGGCAAGTGTGAGCTAGGCTTATCGGTTCCTCTTTGCACTATCTATACGAGATTTTCAAAGACATCTAAGATCATTAACGAAAGTAAGTTTCTACGCAGACTGACATCATTTGGTATAACTGGTCAATTGACAAGGTCATCCTTCTGGAATTATCAAGCTTCGAATGCAGCGAAATCGATATTCACAATGGATGTATTGACTTTATATGATGATAAAATATATGGGGAAGGATCATAGTTATTGAAACCTGACTAACTAAACAGAGACGAGGAAAAATCTTATGGAAAAGAACCCTATAGAAGTGTTATTTTTCTGTTTAGAACTCAACTGAACCGTTTCTTTTCAAGATGCCTCAGAAGCTACGACGAGTTGATTATTATCAGGTGAGTTAATGTCATTTCCTTGCTAACGTGACAGCTTCAAACCACAAACAATCACTGTTCAGTACTGGTTGCACCCAGCACCAAGTCACCCGGTCGAAAACTCATCGTAGCTGATCACTCAAACAACGTATATTTGTTTGAGTACACTGACACACTGAAAGTAATCAAGGTAGCTTCTCATTGACCCGTTTGCATAGATGTCACAATTTCCTGTGGCCAGTCACGTCACACGAATCTACAACGATCAGCGTAGAGGAAAAGAAACATCACGCATCCTGATTGCTCAAGGAACATGTATTTTAAGCTACTCGGTAAATGGCAAGCAACTATTTAAGTACGACTCCAGCATTGATGGAACCATTACCGCCCTGTAAATTCACTTTGATCAAATGACTTATATCTTTCTCCAAGTGCCAGTATGGATTCTGGCCTCTACTTTGTTACAGAATGCATCTATCAGAAGCTGCTTAGTTGGAAAGAGGATGAATTTCTTTTGTGTCCAGACAGAATTACCGATATTTTGGTTCTGCACGACGTGTTTCCAGATTCCACTCCATTCGTGGTTTTAGCCTGTATCGATAGGATGATACGTCTACTGAAAGTAAGCGGTTTGTTCAAACTTTCACCTGACAGCGTGGCACAGTAAATGGAGAGCTTGAAGTACCCGGTCCACCAATTTGTCTTTCAACCGCGGACGCACAACGAAGAGCAGACCATGTAGTCTACGGCACCTCAGACGGACAGTTGGGACTCATCAAACTAATGGGGTTCGTAACAAGCGTGTTTTGCTTTTTTACAGTGCGACTGAAAAACATTTGTCCCATTGGTTGTAAGAAGTTGACTCTGTCAGTTTGCTTTATCGGCAACGAAAGATGGACAGAAGAACCGCCACCCAACACGTTGAGTTTTTTTCGATGTCGTCCAGATGTGGACCGAGTGTTGTGGGGCGAAATCCCAGTTTATTGATATCTACTCACTTTGGATCTGATGTTTACTCCAGTTCAAATTCACTTTGGGCTCTTCTATGCCAGTCGCCCAGGTCTGTTCCAACTTGCTTTGGTATTCTCAGTGGATAGGTCTCCTGTTGTGGAGACTATTTTGATGTGTTACTTCCACATATAACTAGTACCTTGAACAATTCAGAGTGTGTCCGATATTCACCTGTAACAATAACCATTTCTGCCAATGATAAAAATATTCTGTTATTGGTTTTGCCGTCTCGAAAGGTAGGGTATTTATGTCGGTCATGATTGGAATGTGTTGTCTTCCGATTAGGGGGTCATATTGGCACCGATCGTTCCATAGAGTGCGCGATGCAGTAGAGACGTTAATCTTACCAGACCTTAACATTGACCACCTTGGTAGATTACGTGTCACTCTTCAGCAAAGCACCTGGCTATAGTAGTAAAACAGACGTCAGAACATTGTAATGCTTGTTCAAACAAGGCCAACGTTAGATGGGCTCACGGATAGCTTTATCCATTACCGTTTGGTCACAGGTTTAAGTGGAACTCTAAAGTGCAACGTAAAGAATACTACTCGTGTGGTTCTAATCAGATAATACAGAGTCTTGACTTTTCTTATTTCCATACGGCGTGTTTCTGACTGCAACAATTTTATAACAGTCCTTTAACTCTTTGACCAGATTACTGTTTACACAACTAAGCTTGTGTCGTGTTCCCTACTTTAACTGGTCGGTATTTTTTATCGTTAATTCAAGCTGATCAAGAACGAATTCAGGTTAATTTAACACTCACAATAACTTGTTTGCGACTCCTTGAACATTCACCCTTTGCGTTACTTCTTCCCTACGACAAAGTAGAGGTCAACCGGTGCATGAGTGGCAGCTGTGTTCCAGAAACACCCGTGGCCCAGTCCTGGGCATCGAACACTTTGATTTGTTTCAAACTGGGCAAGAACAACTGATAGCGTCATACGATGAGGGGGTGATTGAAGTCTATGAATATGACACCCATGGGCACCCCCATATGCTGTACGAATTGGTAAGTATGAATTAAATTTCTACGAAATATATCTTCTCAACCATTTACACTGATGGAAAGTCCTATCTCCTTGCCTTTTCGGATTGGATGCCTGCTGCGAAAACTGATAAGGCACGTAAAATCAGGGTGACTGAACCTGCTATCACACACCAATTTTTTATCACCGACAAACAAAGTTCAATCAAAGACTCGCAATAGTATCCTGATTTTCTGCGGGGGGCCATTTAACCAAATGTCCAAATGGCATCGACAAAAAAGGTGATGATTCGCAAAGGTCTGCCTTTAGGAACTAAAGTGAAAAAACTGAAGTATAATAATCGGTTTTTATTGGAATTGGCAGCGAACATGATTCGCGTTGGCAAGCGTTTGACCAGATCGATATGATAGCGTTCGCTACTTACAAAGGTCAAGTAGTTCAAGTTTAGTTTCTCAAATTTGGAATTGTGCGAGGGATGGTTTTAATGGTGAGGTAATTCTCGCAAAGGTTACGTTTTATCTTGCTCTGTTGTGGCCGATTACGCCTTGGGAGAATTAGAAAAGTGATGCACGCGTATGTAAAGATCAGTAGTACTTGTTAGCTCGTCGTCAATCCGTTTCTTATTGGTTTTGTTTAATAGAGGGTTCAGGTCAGTCTTCAATGTGTGTGATGCAGTTGGATGCTGTTCCTCGTATAAGGCAGTACCCGAATATCGAGCGCGCACGACATGTCCTTTGGTCCACGTTACAAACTTTTCCAAGCACTTGTGTTTTCGTGAATCGTGCGTCTTTCACGACCGCACACATCTTCGACGTTCGGTGCAATAATGCAAAATTATTAGTGATCAGTTAATAGCGGCTCCAAGGTCAACGGCCATCTGAATGTGTGGTCCGAATGTGGTGCCGTAATTTAGCTTTTATCGAAGGAAACATAGTTTATCCCCATGTGATAAATAAGCGTGTGTCCACCTATCATGATACAGCTGATCTAGATGTGCAGTCTGTCTACGGTGCCAGCGCCCCACCTCAGTTGATAGAAGATGCAATCATTGCTCAGCTTTTGTAAGGTGTTGGTGTTTGTTTAACCTCTGAAGTCTGGTGAGCCACTCATTTGCATAGAGAAATCAGGCTTCCGTTTGATTTCGACAGCTCGGCTCGAAAGCTGTCCGAGGTCCCTATACTCCAGACATGAAAGTGCATTTTTCTAGTGAGCAAAGCCATGAATGAGACAGGTGCCATCTGCTATGGTGGAACATATCCAAAATCCTACTTCCCGGGATGAACATGGTTTGAGGTTATTTAGTGGAAATTAATGACTATCTAGCATGCGCCACTGAAGGTAATATTGGTTTTGCATTGCATATTGAGCCGGCTGGTTAAGTTGCTAATTGTTCATCACCAGTAGCGGTGTGGCATGCCATTTACGTGCATTGAGCGGTTGATTTGGCCTCTTTTTTAAGGTTTCTAGTTGGGTGTGCCTCTGCCCCTGACTTTGGAGTAGTTGTTTACGTCTGCAATGTTATTGGATCGTTCGTCAGCTTGCATCCTGATTGGATGACGTTTATGTGACCTTTAATTCTGTCTTTTCGCCTCTTCTATTGGTCAGAACTCGGTTGAACTCTGATTTCTCCGTGTTCCGCTCCGCGTCCGTTGTCTTTGCGATTCTTAAAAACTTCAGGCTCCTGGTGCCTTGACAGAATAATCAGTCTCAGTTTATTATTCTGGCAGAACTGCCAGTCCTTTGCACAGTGTTGCCCACAGTGGGTCCAGTTTATGTCGTTAACTTGATCCGTCTCACAATGCGTCCACACTATTTCCCAGGATCCTTTTGTATTTCTACTTGCTGGGATTTTCACTTTTTCACTGGTTCAGCCCATCAGCAGAAAAACGTTTCGGAGGTAAAGCACGGGGACATAACGCAAATTTACCTTTAGCGTGTAATAACCCTTCAGAAAACAATGGATCAAAGGAAGCCGAATGACAGTAGGAGGGAACTGTTGTACTACGAAGACTTTCTGTCATAGGATTGGAAGGAATTTTCCACTGGCAAAATAAAATTATTAAAAGGGGCATAAAATCCAACCGTTATTCGCGATGAATTCTCTGAAACTTCATGCCAAGCAGTGTAGGCCAATGACCGGGAATCTGGTTCTTCCCCAAATAACGCGTAGCAATCTGTAATGTTATCTGTATAGTCTGCTTACATACAGTCTTTTCTTGAAGCAGAATAACTGCCAAAAATTGCATCAGTTTCATCTCCAACCAAAGTGTCCCACTTCCGACAATTTCAACGATGCACATTGACTGTGTTTTCGAGTATCCTGTTGGGAATGCAGTCACCTGAATGGGAAGGTTTCGACCAACTTCCCCAATTATGTCATCCTAAAGCACCATTCCCTGTGTGTTTTGCCTAAATTGCGTAATCACCATCGCACTAATTTGAAACGTTCTGCGCAGAGTGAGCTGGTGCCAGCCTTTAACCGGTTCTTTTCTGTTTTCCCGTTATAGAACCTTCTTCACAAATTAACCTCAGTTAAGGCAGGAACCTTTGCCAGTCCACACTATCCGGAGCTCGTTTGTGTTGCTTATACAGGTGAGCCCATGCAAATGAGTTGCATGCGAAGTGCAGTCTGTGAAAATAAACATTCGTTTGGAAGCATTCGTTTGCGCGGTATCAAAAAATCCATAAAGGGCGAAACTTTTCAAGAGTTTCCATCAACCTCATGAATAGCATGACGTACTTTTTGCATCAATAATAGTGTTTTGTTATCAATTTTACCACTGGTGTGAAGTTCGAAGTTCCTAGAGGCTGGAACTACACGATAGCATCAACGGAGACGCCTGCAGAAGACTTCCCCCCTGTGCCTATAAGACTCGTAACTAGGTCTTTTCAGCAAGAAATACCGCAGAAAATTGGTCGCATTTGCTGAATCAGGAGAGTTAATGTACAGTTAATGCACTTCGCGGCAAAATTTTAGAGCTGTCAGTGGCTTTCACCAAAACTCGACTGCTAATGTATAAAATGAGCCAAACTTCTGTCAGAATTAGAAACACGGCTTGGAATTTACGGGTGTGTACGGCACCTATAAAAAAACTGGTCAATAGGCAGGGTAAACATGGGACCAGTAGGTGATAATTTCAACGACAGATTCTATAATTCGCCCCACGTTCTCTTTGCGAGTTTTGGACGGTCGTATGCTCTCAGCCATGACTTCAGATTCATATCGCACCTAGAAGAATACTGGGCAATTTCAGCGAGACCATGTGTCTTCTTTGAACAGATCGGAAAGCACAAACTTACAGAAGTTCAGCAAGCACACAGGCCTTTGCCTCAGAACTGCATATCTAAAACCATCCATTTGGTTATTTGAAATGTGCAGCATAGCTCATTGTTTTTGGAGATAAAAGAAGGGACTATCTCGGCGTGTCAGATACACAGAAGGATAACTAGTATGACCCTCGTACAGAAGAAATATAGTTTCATCCAAAAATGTTCGTTCTGGATGCCTACTCTGGTCGCCCAATCAGGTAACTACGAATACTGAGCTGTATGCGGTTTTCTGAACTGCACAGTCGGACTCGCCCACTACCATTCAAATTTATCTACCGGAAGTTGAGTAACAATAGCCCTATAATTTTGTTGCTTCGTCTATTTGTGTGGATTGCATGGTGAACCGCTAGCGCTGCATGCAGGGGACTATTTTGAAAAAGGAAGCTACTCACAAGGTCGCTGAAAACTCTTCGACAGCCTACGACCGGTTTTTTCCTTCTGGGATCTTATCAGGTAGGTGCAGGACCCGAGTTTCGGTCAACCCTGTGTTCAGTTTGAGTAGTTTCCCTTGTGAAATATCGTACCAACTGAAACATGAGGTGACCTTTGTGTGGCACATTCAGTTGAAGAGCAGCCTAAACGTGAGATTCAGTAGAGTCTCCCCACAAAACCCAATTGATATACAAATGTGTGTATTTGTTGGAACCGTTATGTGTTGTCTCCAGGGAATTTTTGTCTGAGACGAACTACTAATCTGCGTATCATCCTTTCTAGTTGAAATTCCTTAATTTTTGTCTGAGACGAACTACTAATTTGCGTATCATCCTTTCTAGTTGAAATTCCTACAGTTATCAAATCCCGAATGACAGATCGAAATTGAGTAGCCAACGTAGTCTGGTCACCAACACACTGCCTACCGGGGTGTTGTGACAGACTGCAAAGTACCGATTTAACTATTTTAACCGTGCCATTGCCTTGCAGCTGTACACACTGGGGAAACCGCGTGATCTTCATTGCACCTGTTGGAGACATTGCAAGATATGACTGCCAACTGATTTTTCAGTAGCGTTCTTGTTGTCAGTTTCTCATGAGATTGCCTGAATGAGTGTCTGGATGTGTAGGCACCCCGTCCATCTTTGTTGTTTTCTTCACAACAAGGCTTTAAAATGAATCATGATTGTGCGGCAGTGAAGCATCAGTGTTGAGCACTGATATCATGCTGTTGTTTTTTTCTAGTCACCTTTGAATTCTTTTATGGTATATTATGCATACAAGTCACGTTTGCACACTTATCTCGTGCAATTTAGGCGCTGTCTTTGGCCTCACCACTGAACCCCTGAAGGAGGCAACCGAACAAGGACAAGAGGAGATAGGAAGGAGTGTGCTACAATCCAAAGTGGATAAATTGAGGTACTATTCACTTGGCTTCACATTTTTCTACCTTGGTACCTGGTTCTACACTTTCAGACGACAGCAGTGGATTGCACTTTATCAGATATCCTTATCTGTTTTGGTGTAAAATTAAGAAGGAATTGTATAATGAGTAAACACAGGTTGCTTAAAATTCAGACAACTCGGGGTTGGCAACTTACAGCTGTGTTAAAGCGCGAATCCCTCGTTTATGGGGTTATCTGAAATGAGATGTATAAGAACGGGCTCACGAATCATTTAGGTGTAGAGTTCAGGTTATTCCTGCACAGCGCGAAACCACTTGTAAGACAAAAATTTTCAGCTACTTAGGTAGCGTATTGTCCAAAAAAGGTCCACGCTATTTTGTAGCTCCCTTGGATTCGCTACCTCCCTAATGAACTTAGTGCTCCCAACGGTTAGCCCAGCTTCTGCCAAAAAAGCACGCACTTGGTGGCACTCGAGTCAACAATGGATGAATAGGTCGTGATGAATTGAGCTTCAAAACTTTCTAAGAATGTCTCAAATTCTCTAAATAGGTTGACAGAATCTGTCTAGATGACTTTAATCCGCGTGCGAGATATTGTGAAGCAGATTTACACATACATTAGCTACCCATGTAGAGGTGTATACTACTGATGTGGCATGCGAGTAGTCTGTGGCCGCGCCGAAGCCCCGCCTCATGCTGATCACAGAACTTGTGAATTGCTTTGCAGTATTCGTTTACAGCTGTGTAATGGTCAATGAACATTCATGAAATTGTAGAAAGATGGGTGAGAATGTTTGGTTATTGAAAATTATGTGCATATGAGACGCTTAATTCCCTGTCAATCAGGTTGTAACTTACCTAGATGAGGACTCCGGGATCCAGCTCATCAGTCATTATTGATAGTGGCAGATATGGATGAATGAGAAAGTCAGTTGCCCTCGTGCGAAATAGCTATCGCCTTCAATAAATAACTGCTTAGTTTCTTAAAATAACCGGTCATTTCATTACCTCGAATGTTTGGTTATCTCTTCCTTTTATCTAAACTGAAACTGTAGCAGCTGAAACCAACACACCCTTGGTATGTGGATTCTAACTGGTGGACTAAAATGAACTGATAAGACGTGTGGGATAGAGACACTAAAATTTTTTGGACTTAAAAGTGATTTGCCTCGTTGTAGAAGATATTAGCAAGTGAATAAGTGCAATCGACTATACGAAAAGAGCTTAGTAGCGGTGGCCACCTGTCTCTAATGGTTGCGCCGTGAGCGGGTAGAATCGCATGCTTTTGTCATTGTATCAGCCCACTGTACTTATACTCAAAAGCTGGAAAATCCAGTAAATAAATTCACATGTCTTATTGTCATTTCCTATCCATTTCATCCAGAGAGGAAGTCAGTGCCTTGGAAGAGCAGCTGTCACTGTTACGCTCGACACGAGAGAAACCAGCCGACCAGTCCCTGCTGTGTCTTACGACTGGAAGGATTGCACACAACTTTTCCCTCGATGCGCACCGTTCGCTGTTTTGTCTTCATTTAGAATGTGCCGTCGCGCTGGATCACGTGCTCATACAATGTGACTGTCCCGTGGAACTGGAAGATGGTGAACATGGGACAGCAATTCTCAGTTTGACTCCTTGCACTGTTGAGGTAAACGGATTGTGCATTTATGCTGCCCTTCCATAATTGACTAGAGATTCCCATTTACTCGTAGTAAATTTACGCATTGATGAGCGTGCGGTTTCGTTACTATCCATTCAGATTCAAGCATTCCATTATGGAATCAGGTTGGAAAAATGACTAACGAAAAACACCGTCATTGAAAAAAAAACAGTTGAGTATTTCGTTACTATCCATTCAGATTCAAGCATTCCATTATGGAATCAGGCTGTAAAAATGACTAACGAAAAACACCGTCATTGAAAAAAAAACAGTTTGAATAGTTGAAGACCGTTATCAGCAGATCCACCTTGGGTTGCGTTATGAAGGTTGTGGATCCTTATGGTTGTGACGATGTATTTATGCAACGTTTTTGGGTAGGTCCAACAAGGAGAGTGTAAGCGAGGAAAGTGCTATTTCATCCACAGGTAACGTTGGTGGCAGGTACTTAAATTCGAGAAAACATCCAGCATCATCGACTACGATGGCTCGGTCATGTGCTACACATGCCGAAACACCGTCTACCGACACGAGTGTCGTACTCCATGAGTGCTTCAGAATGGCGGAAACCACGAGGTGGACAACAAGTGACTTGACAGAAGGGTGTGAAAGAGGTTACAGAGAGCTTGTTGTTGATTTTGTACGCCTTCCAAGATAGGGTCTCCGTGAAACCTGCGCTTGGCTGGAGACATTGCAAAAAGTGGCGGCTGAACGACGTCAGTGGCCTTCTTCCTGTCAGTTTCTTTCCAGATTGTTTTATTGAGCGGTTGGAGGTGTAGGTATCTCAGAATGCTTGACATAGGTCAGCATTAGGTCCCCTCCCTCACCCAGTCTTTTTCTCTTCTTTTCACTCTAAGGCTTTAAATACAATTAGATGGACTTTTTGGTTGTACGGCAGTGAAGCATTAGTGTCAACACTGATGTTGCTGTCTCCGATGATGTTGATTGATTGTGTTCTCGCTGCGAAACGTTCGTGTCCGATACTCAGTTTTCTGCTTGTTAAAGCGTTGTTGGCATTTGATCACACATGTATGTATAAGTGAAATTGTGTACACCCTGTTTGTCAACTGTTGTTTCTCTGTCATTCTTATAGACCCTAATGCTAAAATCAGTACTGGAACTAAATTATCTAAACCGTAGGCTATCCAACTAGTGTATCTTCGCCGAAGTCCCTGAGTACCCGTTTAGTATGGTATGGTATGGTATGGTATGGCCAACTGGTTGACCGGCTGCATCTAGAGAACACGTGTCAATCAATCAATCAATCAATCAATCAATCAATCAATCAATCAATCAATCAATCAATCAATCAATCAATCAATCAATCAATCAATCAATCAATCAATCAATCAATCAATCAATCAATCAATCAATCAATCAATCAATCAATCAATCAATCAATCAATCAATCAATCAATCAATCAATCAATCAATCAATCAATCAATCAATCAATCAATCAATCAATCAATCAATCAATCAATCAATCAATCAATCAATCAATCAATCAATCAATCAATCAATCAATCAATCAATCAATCAATCAATCAATCAATCAATCAATCAATCAATCAATCAATCAATCAATCAATCAATCAATCAATCAATCAATCAATCAATCAATCAATCAATCAGTCAGTCAATCAATCAAACAATCAATCGATCAATTTATCAGCTGTAAACCGTGTGCCATAGGCACATTGGTTCCAGCTGCTACAGATTTGATCACCGGAAAACAGGAAAGTGGAACATACAACCAAACATTGGAGGCGAAGGCATGTTCAGTTTAGCGGAATACACTCATTTGCAAACAAATATGGTTTTGCGAGTGACTCGCCTAAAACCCAACTGAATCTCTCGTTTGTGATGTTTCCAGGCAACCGAATGTAGAGGTAGACGGGAACTCGGGGACTGCGGCTATCTGACGAGCCTCAACGAGGGCGAAACCGGTCGTGGACTGTCGACGAACTTTCAGCAACCTTATGAGTAGTGCATTACGAATATACATGTTCAGTTTATTCGGAAATCGAGCAGCTACGCCTTGAAGGCGATAGCTTTGATGCACGAGTACCCTGACTGCGCGATCGGACCATTTCCGCTATATTTCAGGACGTCACGTTGTGACGGGGCTTCAGGTGATCTGTTGCTGCCAACTCTATTTTCACTACCATTCTGCCATCTGGATAGACCCCAAACTAGTCCGGCTGTTGTAGGTGATTCTGGACACATTCAACAAAGCTAAAATTTTAGAAAGGGAGTGCATTCGAATGTTCCAATTAGAATTTTATCCTGAGAACGACACGTCTCTGTCTTAAACAGTTTAGAAAAGCTATGGAGTGGTTTTGTGCATCTTGAAAATAAATGGCATCGCACGAAGCTGCGAAGAAAATCGATCCCACTTTGTGATTAGTGTTCGAGTATGGCAGGCTGAGACAACGGCCTACAGCGTCTGTCATCATCAGCGGTTAATTTCAACCCTTCCAACATTAAACCAGTTGAATATAATCCCCTCACCCTTACCGACCTGCTTTTCAGAGTGGGAGTGCCCTATTAGCAACGCTCAGGTACCAAGCCAACGTGAACGTTACGAAAATCTACTTACGCACCATCGAAGGTCAGTATGGAACCCTGCGAGTTTACGTAACTCCAAGCAGCATTGCTCCCATCACGTGCCAGTGCCTGGAATTTCCCATTCGCCCATTATCATTGCATCAACGAATCCACTCCTTTGAAGACGGAAGGTAATTTTGTCAACTTTCAAGTGAAAAGGTGGTGCAATTTTTCAAGACTCCAGAGATGACAGAATTAATTTGAATCTGGCAACTCAGGCTGCTATACTGGTAAAAGCTCTTGATTTTTTCCGTATTTCACCATAAATTCTGAAATCGGTTCCTTATATAAGGCTCATAAACAAAGACCAATGACAAAGTACAAAAGGTACTGCATCAGGAGAGAAAACAAGTACAGATTAATTGTCAATCCATCTTGCAGTATCGCTTTTTAAAAGATTAGTTTCTTTTGAAACGGACAGACAATAAAGGATTTATTTGCGAGATTTTCACTAAAAACGACAGCACTAAAATGTTTCTCCAACTCTCCACGTTGTCCAGTTATTAGTTGCCCACTAAGGTGGAGAGAAAAAGGTTTGAATACCGTGGTTGCTTCAGTCTGCAGCAAATGTTTTTCGCGTTTACTAATCGGCGGAAAACAAAGGGGTACAACACAATGTATGCAGCGCAGACGAGACACACTCGGAGTAGATAGTGAATACATTTTCTTCCTACTTACAGAAACTGAGTAGGTAAATTTTGCCGAAAGTATGAGAGTGCAACCAGTAGCATCGAAAGGCTTTAGTGCATGTAAAGTTGGAATAAGTTGGTAACTATAACTGTGTACAGATTCCCGTTTGTTAATCTGCCACTATAGAATTCTCTACCGAACCTTTCGTTTTGTTTTTCCTGGTATTCAGTAGATTTTTAAAGTCTACATTTAATACTAGCTTTCTTGTCCATACTCTAATGGGGATGAGAGATAGAAATATTGCTTTTCCTCAGCGACAACAGCTATTAATAATTGTCGAATTGCGTGCAATTTGGATTCAATTGAAACGCGATTTTGATGGTAACTCGGGACCTGCGCCTCCCTGATGAGCCCTAAGAAGAGCGACACTGGTCATAGGGCGTCGAAGAATTTTCAGCGAACTTGTGATTCGTTTCCTAAGCATCATTGCTATTTACATAGTCATGTCTTTCTCTGGTTGAATATTCAAGTCAAAATACTCTTTATTGAGGTCAAACTGATAAGAGTCTCATCGATAGGTAGAACTATTTTTTATCGTCGGAACACAGCTGAAAAGTTCATGGGTTGCTTTCGGACCAAATAATCGAGTTAAACTCGTTTTCGACCTTAATAAAGTGAGCGTCAGCTGTTCACAGGTGCCGAAGAAGTTATTTCCAAATGTCTATTTCCTTGTGTCATCTTGCACACTTCTCTCTTTCTCATTTTTACAAGACCACTGAGCAGGCTGACATTGACTGGAAGATTTTCTCTAGCGACCATTCATCAGTGGGTACGATTGTGTGTACCGGAGACACCAGAGAAGCCGCCGTTCATCGAACCAACGCTGGAAGGATCTGTTCCTTTTGGATTCGACCCAAAAGAACAGTATGTTCGCCTGATTTACGGATCGACTTTTCTACCAACACAGCTGGAATGCTGCTACCAGAGGAACAAGGCCACCTTTCGCTCATGCAACATTTCTACCCTGGCTATTGTGAAGGATTTTTTGACAAGGGAAGCCACAATGAGTAAAGTCCCACTGTCCATTGATACAGGTGCGTACACGGATGTTTTTTGTCACACTTATCCAGAGCGAAACCACTATCAACACATTTGGTTTTCTGCTCCCCAAGTAGTAACACAGCCTCTTCCCTAGTAAACACAGAAACGGATTCCAAAATTCAACCGAATGTTTCTGGCATAACGGTCACTCTTTGGATCAGTTACGCCTGGTGTCTTGAGACTCACCCGTTACATTTTCATTGTCAGTGATGTTCACCCAAACAGTTTTCACCTGGTAACATTTTCTCTGCTTAGCCTCTCCCTTGCCTATCCACTTTTGACCACCCAAAAATTCAGTGACTCATGAGAGTGCTCATCATCATCAGAGATAAAACATCAGTGTTGACCTTCATCATCATAATTATCATTATCATCATCATCGTAGTCAGCTGTAATAACCACGTACTCCTCGTACAGCGGTCGTAGCTGCCGCAGTATGGTTCACAGATGATTGGGTGGGGGCATGTAGCTGCGCATTGCAGGCAGGAGCTGATAAATTGGTGCATAAATCCAGCAATGTCAGTGGGCTGTCAAGTGGGAGTTGGAAAAGGAGCTATGCATTGTAGGCAATAGCTTGGATGCACGAGGGCCATTGGGGGCGCGCATCCAGGAAGACGGCAGTGACCAGCGCAGCTGAGTTTGCTGGTAATAGCGTTCATATTTCGCTGCCAAGTCATTGTTTGACCGCCTCTGGCACTCTTCCACCCTTCACGTGGTTGTGTGGAAAGAGCCCTTCGAGGAAGTCGGTCGACTGGCATATGCAGCACGTGGCTAAGCCAGCGCAACCTATGCAGTGTGATCAGTTCATCTATCGAGGGTGAGTTATTTCTGCCGAATACCATTCGACGAACTTGAGAATTGCTGATCCGATGTTCCCACCAGACTCGGTCAATGCTCGGGAGACATCAATGGTCAAATACTGAAAGACTTTTGACGTCCTCAGCACGCAGCGGCCAGGTTTCCGATCCATATGGTAATACGGAGAGTACCGAAACATTCTAAACTCGACCCTTGACAGAAAAGCTGATGTCACGCCTACGCCACAGTTGACTTTCATGCCTAAATGCCGTACAAACCAGCAGTTCATCTAATTAAGTTGAAAGCCCTAAAGTGAAAAAAAAACAGTGGCTGGGTGAAAAGACCCGGTGCCGGCCTACCACAAGCATTCCGAGGTGGTTGCATCTTCAAGCGCACGATTTTCACTGACATCCATTAGTCACCATTTCTTACAGTGTCCCCAGCCAAGCGCGGAAAGTGTCACGGGGGTTCCATCCTGCAAAGCGCACAGCACCAACAACACCCAAGCTTCTCGTAATCTCTTTCACATCCTTATCCCAAAACAAACGCTGTCCACTTTGCAGATGGTACCATTCCGAGGGATGCACGGAGAAAAACAGTCTTTTCGGTAGACGATGTTTCAGCAGTTCACAGTGTTGGATGTCTCTCGCGAAGGAAGTACCATGTCACGATCACGTGCCATTTCTAGGATCACCCCGTTAAAAATTCGTTGGCGTCATCCGACGCTGCAACCACTCCGCAGACATCGGTAGTGAAAAACCTTAGGGGGCCTCTTATCAGCTGTCTATATAGGCCATAACCATACAACAATACAGCTTCAACCACAGACTGGTACACGCGACCCTGGGGACCTAATGATATGTTTTTACACCAAAGTAACGCAAGTTAGCAAACGTCATTTGGACTTTTGAGACTAGTGCACCGACTCCAACAAACACACCTCCATCAACGCGTGTAAACTTATTCACAACCTCCAGTGCTTCTTGAACTATATGGGATTTGTTGAGAGATTGCCCATTATGAAACACGACCTTGCGCTGTGAAGTTGCAAGGCAGGTGCAGAAAATAGTATGATTGTGACCAGTTTATTCAGCAGCGTTTACCTTATTATTTCATCGACGAGGAACGTGAACCAGAACGGATAGAGTAGATATCCTTGTCGGATATCACTTTTTGCGAAAGGCTGTTAGAGAGAGTTCACCATACACTCCTACGGAGACACGTGGATATAGGGACCGGATTAAGTTCACAAATTTCTGGGGCATCCCCCGTTGAACCAATGCAGTAAACAACATTGACAGCACAGCCTTCTATAGATCCTAATAGTTTTGCTGTCAAGAGACAGCTGTCAAGGATCAACCGAACAAATCAAGTGGAATAGTATGTGGACGCTTCCAGCATCTTCCCTATCTTTTATTTTTTCTCCCCTTTGGGTCCACCTTGTTTCCGGGCCTTCACGGACAAAATCTTAGCTGGTATTGGATGATGCTTCAAGTTGAGTTGCGGTTGTGGCCTGGAAGAATCCGTCCAGCAAAGCCATGGTCCTGTTAGAGATACAGTGTTTGGGTGAAGGTGACTCAGTTGTTTCCCAGGCATTAAGTCCGGCTTTGATACCTGTGACCATTGAAATCTGACATCATATCATCCGGCAGGCTTTGAAGGATCCACGAATTTCTCATTGGCTAGAAGAGATATCCGCGTTTTTTGTAGAGCTTAAAGGAGCTAGTGAAAGCAGCAGCACCAGAGAAGTGCATGGCCCGAATTCACGTAGGTGGTCTAGAATGAACTGCTAGGAACGATCGACCGTCGCCATGGATAACTGATGGTGATGTGGCAGATTTGGATTCCAGACTGGTTCGCTGGTGCGCACCACGCTGTCAATCGATTTCCGCTGTTCCGGAAATTGCTACTGCAAACAAACAGTTTGTGCTCGGCACACATCTGAAGCAGGCGATCTCCGTCGTCCGCTTGTCTCGTGTCCATTCCAAGACGACCACCCAACTGGGTCTCAGCAGATTTTAGTTTACTTCCCTAAGCGTTCATGTCACCAGCAACCCCAAAAACTGTCTGAGCGTTTAGCCCATTGTTACGGAGCACCGGGATCGTCACAGAAACTATCCTTGACAGGTTCAGAGCTATAGACCATCTGAGCGTACTAAGACAATCAACAATGAGCAACGGACTCCACTTTATCGAGATTACTTCATACATGTCGCCAAAAGAACCGCACAGAGGCGACTATCAACACCATCTGAGCGTACTAAGACAATCAACAATGAGCAACGGACTCCACTTTATCGAGATTACTTCATACATGTCGCCAAAAGAACCGCACAGAGGCAACTATCAACAGGTATTCAATCAAGTGGAGACGCTTCAGCTGGGTCGCTCAATATGATACCTACCCAGGCATATCCAGCTGCAGCGGTATCTGAACCACTAAATGTGCACAGCCAGGACCAAACTCTTTGAACCACAATCCTGACTGCAAGGAAACGATGCTTGGAGGAAAATGCAATTGCACTGCCATCTGTAAAGAACAAGTCACAACGAATGTTTCAATCTGGAGGCTATGAGAGATTTTGCGAATATTGTACCAACATTTCCCCAATATAGCTCAATATGTCTCAAAAGCACACAGAATGTCACGCTGTGGTAGGTTTCAGTAAGTTTCGTTAGAGAACTCGCCATTAGATGGAGACTCTCCCTCACCTTCCCCCTCGACTGATGCACCCGAAACAAAGTTTATCCCCTCCTTTCAACCAGTTAGTTCGTCCCATCGATCTCCTCATTATAAGGGTGTGAATATTTTCGCTACCATCTAAGCGTACTCCATCCTGGAGTACATTTATTCGACTTTTTCTTTAGATTGTTTTCGCTCGATAAATGCCAGCTGATTAATATTGAGCAGTATGGCCCGAGAAATTAGTCAACATGTATAAAAGGGGTGGCGTCCGCCACAACGAAACCACTTGTCAAAGTTGTGGCTCTAACCAACCCAGATAGTCTACTACACAAAAAGTACCTCTGCGGAGTCAACGAAAGTGACTTTATGGCCAGTCTGCCCAGTGGTCCTCAAGTTTACACTATCCCCCCTGTTTGTCATAGCATACGCATTAAATGCGTTATAAAGTCGGAAAACTAGGGCGCGATGGGGCTTTCTGGCAAAGTATTTCTCCAAAATAATTTCAAATTGTAGTACTGAATGGACTCAGGTATGTTATATGTAAGCAAAATATCCACGTTGTTCTATACGTGGGACCATTAGCGCCACTCATTCCATTTAACACGTGTTCTTGAATGCATGCTTTTGGTTAGCTAGTGACACAACTCCCCGCAACCTGCCATAAATCACGCCCGGTTTCTAATCCTACGGTTGCTGGATTAGTGACAGAATGTGACTAGCTAAGTTACTACTGACAGTTGGCCGTGAGAGAGATTGAACACAAATCAACTCAACCACCCGATAATTAACCAAGTATTTTCCGTTCCAACAATTTGCACGCATTCTGTTTTCATGAGACCCTGGTGGCGGTGTGCGAGAGATTGACTGATCGACTTTTCATTCGTGTTAAATGGATCGTTGAATTAGACTTACAGCTGAATTTAGGGCAAATATCAGTACCTAAAATTTGAATGTTTCGAAGCGATTCTTCTGTGAGCTTTTGTCCCCTGCAAAGCAGTTGGAGATTCTCCGAGGAAATGTTTCAGGATTGTCTAGTATGCGCTGTTCAAGGGCATTGTTGTCTACAAGTTTTCAAATTCTCTCTCCCTAGTACTCACTATTTGGTCCTGATCAGAGTCACTTCACTCCGTCCTAACTGTTGCTGAATTCCAACGCGTTTATGTCAAAAAAATCCCCAAAACTGACGATTGAGTATTCATCCGCTTCTCCTTCTCACACACAACCGATTACAGTATTGAGCATGCCGTCACTTTTTAGGTGGGCTATCTAGGTAGAGCGTTGTTGTTGTTGTGTGGTTGGCTCGTGTTCGATGAGTTTTGTGATTGATGCTTAGCCAAGCCCGCTAATAGCGTCTTCACTGTACTCACTGTCAAACAGTGTTTACTTCAACTTTCTTGTATCGTGTGTGCGGCCCGTGCACTTGACTCCTTTCATCCAGCTACATGGGGTCTTTATCAACTCCTCCCATCTTTCACTTCCTGCTGGGGCCATTTTTGACAAATGGCTGTGGTAGTCGAGCTTGTCGAAATGTTACTGATAATGATCAGAAGGATGAGGATAGCAATGAGGGCACCGGGCATCCTAGGCCATACATGTCTTGTATTCTTTAGCAGTTAGGCTAACTGCCCATTCTTCGTGATACGGCACTACCTCTTTGTAGCCGGTTTTTACGATCACCCGATGTACTGCGATATAGTGACCACTCGCATGCCTTCTATCTTTCAGATATCCATCCCGATAGTGTGGAGCACACGCTGCGACTCATCCAACCCGAACTTGAAGCCCATATTATGCTGAAACGCCAGGTGAGCCTTATCGATCCCATCCAAGAACTGGTAGCTGGTCAGGCACAGTCATTTCCTCAGCCGTTCTGCGCGGACAACGCTGACAATCCTTTACCTGGGAGTTTGCCCGAGGAATATGCTGCCATATGGCGTGATTCTGCGAGACTGCGAAAACTGTGTAAGCAACAACCTATTCAACTGGAAAGGCTATCAGGTAAGCTCAACAGTAAGATATGTTGTCCTATTTGGTTAGGCTTTTCACCATACATCGTGCTTCGGAAGCCAGGAAGCTAAGCGTAACCTCTTCCTCAGTGTTGAGGGTCATTAGCAAACCACTCCTCAAAAGCGCAAATTAAAGTTCAAATAAACGAACTTCTGGTGGTTGGCTCAACGCCATGACGAACGGTTACGGGCATCTGATCACTAGACCTACAAAAACATCTTTAAGAGTTCATAGTTTGAGCAGTGTTTTATATCAAGATTTCAACATGATGATTTTAACCGTGATTCCATTCATTTATTGCTGGTCCAAAAATTTGGCAAAAATCAAATTCCGCTCACAGGAATTATCTATTAGGCGCACGACTAGAAGAACTTTCTTCGTTAAGTTTGCGCCCGGCGGCCGTCGAGATCGATAAAACGCTAATATCTCTCCGTAAAAACCACGCAGGGTGAGTCATTCCCCAACAGTGGATTTTCGTAGGGATCCGCCGGGAAACTAAATAGGTGTTCATTTATGCAGTGCCAGATCGAATTGCGGCCACTTTGATGGACACAATCCAGGCCTGTATCNATGGACATCATACCAAGGAATTGAAACGATGATTGACATGAATTATAGTCATGAAACGGTTAATCATACCGGCAACTTTGTGGATCCAAAGACTGAAGCCCACACACAGATCATCGAATCTCTTTGGCACGTCTACAAGATGCAGAATAAACGCCAATGCGGCACACACCTATCTTTAGTGGACAGCTACTTGTGTGAGTTCGTTTGGAGGCGAAGGTACCGAAAAACGGACCTTTTCATGCAAATTAATAATGACATGTCTCAATTTCACTCCCTTCAATGAAAACTTAAAGTACAAATTTCATATCCTCATTTGTAAAATCTTTTTTGGGTTGCGGGGGTTAAATTTTGGCGGGACTTATCTGGAAATGATCCGACCCCTTTGAAAGTTGGATTCAGCACTTTATCTTCGTCTGACAAAGACGGAAGCCGCCACTCAGAAGAAACACTGTTGGATTCATATTCATAGGTATGATACGCACATATCAGTTATAGATGCCCACCACTTTTGGACAGATTCATGGGCTTTTACTTTCGAAACGTGATTTGAGTCAATCTAACCCCATAATTTTGCTGAATTCCCGGCAACTTTTGATATTATGTGCACATGACTATGCATATGAGTATGCAAAGCAGTATTATTAAAACAAGCCACCGTCTTACTTCGGAGTGGTGGGTGGGGATCGACTTGTTCTGAATAGTAGGTTCAGAAATTCGAATTCGTGTCTGTTGCTTTATCTATATTGAATTATGTTTATAAGCGATATACGCTCTTGATGTGAAACAATCTATAGTCCCCTTGAATCAACCATTTGCCTGAGGTTCTACCACCGGAGCCTAAACGACTGTCGCTAATAAACTGGTCGCCTAAAAAAGGGTTAATAATTATGCTTTCATACATTCCCAAGTATTGCTTAGGATGATTACAAGTAAACAGAAGGTCATTGTTTTCAAAAGCGAAGATAATTATGATAAGGGCTAAAGCTAATCCGGTTATAAATGGAGCCAAAGTTAAAGGTCTCCCATCATTCTGGTTCTGATGGGTTGGTATTCGAAACGCATGCGCAATAGTCCACAGGAGGTTGTGCGAAGCCCTATGTGGTCTTTGACAAAAGCTAGCTATACCGAGCTAAATCAGATGAAATTAAACATGCAAATGAATGTGTAAACACCACTTGAGAGCCGCTAGCAGGTTTATCCATGCTGGCGTGAAAAGGAGCACCGGAACTAGCAATTTGACATTAAGACAGTGGCATCCCACGTCAATCTCTCCGAATTTCAATGGAGTACCTCACTCTCCTCAGTTAAATTACCTGATAAGTGCTTTCTTTGGGGTACACTTTGTCGCACTGGTTAGGTTGGAAGGGGTAGACAGACAAACCATTAGTCGTGCTCTTATCTCATAACAAAACACTAGGGTCGAACAGAAGTTGGTTAAAAATATGACTACACTTACTTCCACTAACTCAGTGGTACTTCTGTAATGGTACGGGCTGAGTACCCTTGAGAGTTAGATTCTATGTGGCAATACAGGTCCGTATAGCTACGTGTACGATTGACAAATTATGGTCATTTCGAACTAGGTGCTTACATTCTAGCAGTTGGATATACCGTAACTCAAAAGTGTTCAGGTAACATTTCTCGCGACCGCTTTGTTAAATTTCCAATTTTTCAAAACTACTTTTTCAAACTAGCCTGAAAGCTATCACACTAGTGAAATTTCGACCCCTTCGAGTTCTGGCTCCACTCTTCTACTAACCTGGCTTTTTTCAGAACATTGATGTTCGGGTTTCAATGTGGTCAGTCAGATTTAATCAAAATTATCCTACGATGATACGCAGAAAGAAACCTGTCAAGAACCCCAGAGTTCCGTCGATTGAGTGTTCGGTTTTTTCTGTCATACTGTGATTAGGACAGTACAACAGCTCGGTTCTCTGCAAACTTCATCTTTACGCACAGGTTATTTGCTTCAGACGCATTCATTATAACGATCATGCAGTACTTACATTGGTTATTCGACCATCTAGTTCAGGGTCGATTGCTTTCTTCGCAGACAGGTAGCAGATATCTGCACAGCGTGCCGCAACACCAAGCATAAATTGAATGTAAGGTGTCTGCTCTTGTGAGTCCAAAAGAGTGGCCTATTTATAACCAACCGAAGGGAGATACCACCAAGATAAATGCTGTAATCATTTGTTAAGATTCCTCATCGAAGCCTGCCAATGCGGATTTTTGCCAGGGACTGTTTCAAGTATGAGAGACAACCATGCGGATTCTACCGGGTAGGTATGCTATCTTTGGAATAATAAAACTCTTCCACGCAAATCGAGATTGATTAGAGTGAGAATCAGGATTTAAGCTTGCTTTATCCTACGGCAGAGGTGGTTATAAAGGCACGCAGTCGACGCTTTTTATGACTTTGAAGAGTTTTAAAAATTGACGGCCAAGCCTTTGCAGAACGACCCACGATGGCTTTCTGATTACAGGAAATCTACTGGCACGGCACCTAAGCGTTGGTTCTCTTTTCTCGAAAGAATCTACTCACAAGGTTGCTGAAAACTCTTCAACAGCTCGCGAATCGTTTGACCCTTCTGGGCTATATTTTATCTTTGCGCCGTATTTGGCAGTGATATGGTAAATGCAGCCCAGTGACCTGACAAAATAGTATACCATAGTCCGGAACGAAGTGACCAATCGTGCTGGCAGTCTTTCGTGAAATAGTCAACCAAGAATAACCACCAGATGCGTGTCTAAATCCTCGTATGAACCTGCAACCTGCTTTCATTGATGTCGAGCGACCGACTTGTATCCTAACCGCATCCTAACGACATTTAAGAACAATGAAGGCATTGAAAGTGGAAAGCGCGGGGTAACAAAGAATGATGGACGGATAATTTCGGTTAAACTTACCAAAATGTGTACCCACAAGGTTACCATCAATATCTGCAAATGAGCGCATTTCACCAGTTGCGTACATTTTGCTGTTGAATGACAGCGTAAGAATACTGGAAGCTAGCGGACTGTGTCTACCTGATGAGAGTCAAGAAGAACGCAACGCGTAATGGGCTGTCAGGGGGCCTTTGAACAACTCTACCTTCGATGTATACCATCAGCATGCTAAGCAAACTTTTATTTTTTGTTGAAATTGTCCGTTCTGCATCGAACCTGTTTTGGCCTTAATAGGATTCCACGTCCACAAATCATGCAACATGATATAACCGTAAGTTTGCGCATTTGGAGAATGTCTGCGTATGGATAGGTTCGGTTCATTTTCGAAAATCTTAGGTTCAGACTGGACGGAGAAATGTGGGAATGATCCACAAGTTCTATGACTGTACATGCGGTCCGTCGAGAGCCGGCCATCGTTCGGTAGGCAAACTTGGATTGGTTTCGTTACTTTTGCCCCTTCGTGCGCAATCATCACTACCTGAGCATTCGGCTTGTTCCACCTCGGGCGGTTGACTGTGCAACATCCCAAAGATGATGAGGCGCACATTTTAGCAAAATACACTCAGTTACAAAGAAATCTGGTTCTTTGAGAGGCTCACCTGGAAACCAGTTGAAGAATTTTCAACAAACTTATGAGTAGTGCATTAGGAATATGCATGTATGGCGACATCTTGAATATCGTAGCGACTGAAACATGAGGCGTCCTGGTGCAGCACGTTCAGTTGCCTGGGAACATCATAGACGAGAGGTTCAACTGGGTTCCAGGGGAGTCGCTCGAAAAACCAAATTTGTTTTCAAATGAGTGTACTTCGCTAATTTCTTGAAACTTTTTTCAAGCGAAACATAAGGTTGACGGAAACTCGGGGACTGCGCCTACCTAAAGAGCCCCAAGAAGGGCGAAACAGGTCGTTGGCTGTTGAGGAGCTATCAGCAACCTTATGAGTAGTGCATTACAAAAATAAAGGCGTACATTTCCTTCATGATTGCTTGACCCATCTGAACTGGTGTTTTGCCCTACCCGAGTAACAGGAGCATTAAGCTCCTAGTTGGCACATATCTGTCACACCCACAAACCCGAAAATAGAGAGAGGGAAAGCGCGCGACGCCGATGGTGCCCGCTCCAAACGCAGATGCATACATGAGCACATTCGTGCGGATTAAGTGATCAGAAAACTAAGAGGGTGGTGGGAATTCAAGGACACATCGGAGTCAAAGCGAGTTAAACCATGAATAATTTACCCGACGGCAGTTCCAGGACGAACTATTCCCTCTGATTTCAACAGACATTTTATGCTGTTCTTGGATATCAATGTTTTGAGTCACGCACTATAGCCGTAATTGGATCACAACGTATGTATCCATCCCGTTTCAGTTGATCTGTCCTGTGTAGCTAAGGTGTGTATTTTGATCTTTCCCGCGGAAAACAAACGGTTTCATGAGGAAGCCATTAGGGAAATGATAAACTGAAGGAACGACGGCGTACCACAAGCCCTCAATTGTCACATCTTGGCGTGTTTAGCCCTGAGGTTCTCACCATAATTAAAGACTGAAACTAATCTGATGTGTCTCATTTATCATCTCAGGTTGTGTGGTGGATCAATATATCGACAAATTTCGTTTCCAAGGCATCGATGTAAAATCGCGTATTCCAGAACTAATGAAACTCCTCAACCAATATGATTTCTATCAAATTCTCCAATTTTTCAATGAGTCCTGACCAGTCACAGCACAATATTGGAAATTGTGCTCAGTGATTTTTGTTCCATTCCCCCCAATCATTTTGTACTGACCTATCATCGGGAAAATCCCACCTGATCTCGTTTCGAACTTCCCAAGTGTTTGCCAGACTTGCTTCATTATACCTACTCAGTCATTGTACGCACTGTTTGTTTTATGCAATATATTGCTCATCGTTTGCGGCACCATCATTTTACCATACAGCCATGATCCTTAATGGGTTAGAGAAAATCATTCCAACCTCTTTTACTGAGCACTCCTCTTGTCTACAGAGGAAATGATCATAGTCAATCTAAAATGGCCTACTGTAGGGATGGCTCTGCAAATAAAAACTTCCTTGAATACCACTAGAATTGCGATGCCTGGAAGAGGAAATACTCGGATTATCATCATGCACTTTGGTCGCAATTTAACTGGAGGTTACTGCGCCGCATCTGAGACATTGTAAACCAAGCTGCGGCACACCAGAGGATCAAAGCGAGAAGATCCTACTGCTTTAGTGATATGAAGCTTATTTTATGAACAAAAGTAACAAAGCAAATTCACTACGGCTACAATTCTTTCGGTCATCAGTTCAGTAGTGCTTCAATAACTGATGTCTGCCCTGAGTGACAGGTGGAACGGCAAACGTGGCTCGTTTAAATTGTGGTTCAGTGACTGATTGGGCGCGTGTTGTTACGGCATTGTGCGCCCATCCGCCAGATTGAGGATAATGTCGTATTTGGCTTACAGACGCCTTCTGGTGTGAGCAGTACTCAGATTTCGCTTGATTTGACGGAAAATGTATTCTTCACCAGCCTTTGGATAAGTGATCAGCCAGAGTTTTGTAATCTGGCGACTATATGTCGTCCGAATTAAGGCATATTCCTAAACCGGCGCGCATGGTGTGTGCATTTAGGGGAATGGCCAGTTACAGGCTTCTCAACCAGCTTCAGTTAGTGGAAAGCGCATTCCCTGTTTGACCCATGTAGTGCGTTTCCAAGCCATGCAAGCAGTGTCGTTGATGTCGGCGTAGATTGGTAGATAATTTTTATCCCTATGACTGGATAATGGTGTTGAAAGTGGGTTAATTGGCAAGACATGAATAACCTTCGTGGATGGTCAGCGATACAACTTAATGCGTTGTTCGTATAAAGTAAAATCATTACAGAAAACTACTTCACTCTGACTGATTGGGATTCTGTCAACAAAGAATACTGCTCAATGTTAGTTAAGCAATCGTCACTATAGGCATTGCTTGTCCGGGGTTCGAATTTTGTGGGATGTTAACTCCTTTAAAGGTCTGCTGGTACGTTGTCTGGATTCACTTTTGATCTGGCTACTAACACCGCCGCTATATTGTGTTCATTCTTGACAATATTAGGATATTATCGAAGACATATAACCCTTGAGACCGGCCGAAATTGCTGTCTCCCAGGAAGCCAAGCCGTTCGCAATGAAAGTTAAGTTTAACTGCAAGTGAGCATGGTAGTGCTCGCAAAATCCACACAACAAGCTTTGAAAATATGTTACCTCGGATAGGATGCATAGATGACCAACTTAAAAACCTCATCAAGGCTTACGTCGTAGACTGTCATCTGGCCAAATGTGATTTCTGGCGTACATACTCTACTGCTTCCCCCTGGCGTTCTCGCTGCACTCGACAGAGTGCCATAATCAGCCATTTTCGCGTTGTTGCGTTGAAATAAAATGAATTTTTAGACGAGCAAACCTCATTTCTGCGAATATGATGGAGTGTACTCCATAATTTTTGTTCTACTGGACACATGGATGCCTCCCTAGCCAGCCCCAAGTCACCTGTTTTTATTTTTCACTTTCGTTTACAGTACTTATATAATTATTTTGACTGACCTTGGAAAACAGTCATTTAAAACGGAAATGCTCCTTGTAAATACATTTCATCATATTGCCAGAGGAATTAAGAGCTGGTGAATAAATCGCCATGACCCCACGCCTGCGAGCGGAACGAAGGTTTCTTTAGTTCTAGTTCCGAAATCCTTGTTCAATAGTACTACTTGTGTGATGGTGATACTACTGATGGGGAGGCATGCGAGTAGTGTGTTTTCCTCTCATAAATTCGCTTTGCGTCTCTTGAAAAGGGAGATGTACTGCGGAATTTGTGGAGTTACTCTGTAGCATTTGCTTGGATTTGACCAACAGTCAGTAAATATCCAGGAAAGTTCAGGAAGACGCGTTCAAGAGAAGATGGATGTTCGGTTTTTGTAAACAAGATGCATATGAGAGTTCTGCTTCTCTGTCCAATGGTCTGTACCTGGTCACTCGGCATTTTCTAATAAATAACTCCGCAGCAAAGGCTTTCTTTCTTTCATTTGTCGTGATTTGGACATTTTGGGCAGGCATGTACGTTTGGGTGAGTAACTACTCTAGGTATCGGGCTACCCAGCGTTCAGTTTTATTGGCTAAATATGTCTGGCATATTGAACTAAGCAAACTACGTATCTCAGCGATGTTTTTTTAGTGAGCGCTTAAATTCCCATGTTACCGAAAAGATACTTTCAACTTAGACGAGGAGTGTTTTCTCCTAAGGATCACACCCTCAGTTTGTAGTTTTTCACCTATGCCATCGCCTCTACAAAATATTTTATCCCTCGATTGAAAACCTTTGGGAAGTTGTCATGGCGATATGCAATCCGGTGGAACATTATACTACTTCCGATTATTAAAGTAGACAACTCGAAAAAGGCCCTCTTCGTCCTAGTCTCGCAGCTCATTTATGAAAGGCAATTTCAGTAGGAGGATTGCTTTTTTCCAGTTAGACAACATTTTATAAGTAGTATTCGAAGCAAACATATTGAATCACAACGAAGGTGTCTTCCCTGGAGCATCACACAGCCTGCGTATCACAGTTACCGGACACTGTACAGTGCTGAATCCGAGGTAAACGGGACGACTGCTCAGCTGTCATGGACGGTTGATTTCAGTTGTTCTTCATTTAGAGTATTCTTCAAATTCGTAGGATTGTCTGACACAACTGCCATTCCAAACCAAGGAGAGATACAGGAACCTCTTTCAGATGCCAAGGGATTGGGCCAAAAGCTTCCTGCGTTCACCGATATATGATGGGGTTCCTGATCTGTGCCGGTTAGAATTTCATGGATGGCGAAGTCATTATGAGTTCTGTATGTTATTCCCTGATCAATAATACTATTCTGATTGCCTCCAGGAAGAGTGACTGGTAATTGGAAGAGGAGAGGATAATTTGACGTCATCACCTCATAGCTTTTACAAGAGGTTTGGCAGTCAGCATAACGACTGGCGGGGCTAAATGTGGCTACAGTTATCAATTCCGACGATTGGTGAAGGCATACATTTGTGCTTGTGGAAAACTGATTATGACAAACGTTTCTTTCCAAGTTCTCTGATGAATCTACTCTACGGAATGATTCAACGGAACGATGATCACCTTGGTGTACCAATGGAGGAGCAAACATGGAGCACTCTCGTTCGATTAACGGGCTGGATTGGCTAAAGTGGATGGGTGAAATGTTTGAGTGTTGGTAACTTGGTTCGTGACTTCTGAATTCCGGTTTGCAATACATTGAACTAATCCTAAAGTCTGTAGCTCTCACTGGGGAACTCCTCATGATCTCACAGGGAGCGGATGAATAACAACACGTAACCTGTCCGGTTACTCCGTGAATCGTTGCATCCACGAGGTCGTTCGAAATGAGTTTTTCGGAATTCGGGTGAACAAATAGGGGAGAATTAGGGAAGCCATAAATCGAGGGACATAATTTTGGGGTGAAAGTGGGAAAATTTTGGAAGCTTTTTACGGAGTAACTATCTGGAATGTTTTGCTCTGTGCATTCTGTTTCTATGCATAGATTCTGCTCAGGACCCAGATCTTTAAGTCCGGCTTCAGGAATATGGGGTTCTTGAAGGAACGCTGAATTGTACCTTGGAGGATTCGTTGCTTGTGGAGCGGAGGTTCCGAGACTTGTACCCCGAACTTCAACGGAATATGCACTTTCCACACTGCTGTTATCTATTCCGGAGAGCGTCTCTATTTTACCATCTGTCATGAAATCACTGTCAGCGTCTCGCTGGGAGTCTAACAGATTGTGCGTTATTTCCAACATGTCCTGTGCAAGAAAGAGAATATATATGTATATAATACTTTACTATTAGCTAAAGAGATGATAGTACAATTAGTGCAGTTTTATGGGTAGCAAGCTATTCACAAATTTATGCACCAGTACCATCGCCGTGGTCACCTTGAAAAGTTTTCTCTTGAGCTGCACTTCTTTTGAGTCAAGAAATAGTTCTGTAAGTAGTATAAAAACAACATTCGGTCTTTTACCACAGGAATCGCCAGATAAACATAATCTCTTATCAGAGTCTTTTTTATCTTCTGAGTGATTTAGAACTGAAAGTGAAAGGTAACTCCCATGAAGACAACTGACAGGTGAAAGTCATCTGCATTTATATTAAACCTTTTTCTAGTTTGTAGACAGTGCGAGGATGCTGAATATACCTTATGGATGTTTCTTAGGTTGCTGTTTCAAATCTTCTTTGAGCTTTTTGAGGTCAGCAGTACAACTGTTCCTCGACAGGCAAAAAAGGCTTCTCGACTTCCTTGTCATTTAAAGCTGCCACTTTGACTCGGTGGTCGGACTTGAGTTTTTTAGTGATTCCTCAGGCTACACCGGCTGTAAGTTCACTCCGAAAGATGCAACCGAGCTAGGAAAGCCAGGGAGAGTAGTCAGACCGAAAGCAGCGGGACCCCTCACTTCAAAGAACACATTGCTAGTTGATCCGGAGGTAAATTTGTACTGCCATCTGTGATAGGAGTATGAAAACAGCATGATGTCCACCCCCCGGGCGACCAGCAGTGAGTCTGCTCACGCGCGCGTAGGGCGGCTTAGAAAAGGTCGACTCCAAAAGCCGTGCACTCCGAGCCCCCAGTGGTCGACTTTGACCGCCAGCGCATCATTTGGTGCAACCGAAGTGCACACACTT